TGCAGTACAGTATACGGAAGTAAGTTGCGCATAACCCCTATCCTGCGCAGAGCTGAGGTGCACAGGAGATGGAGTAGGGAGAGAACTAGGAAACGAACTGCCTTCAATTAACAATCCTTTTGGGTTTATCAGGGAGCTCCTCGGACAGAGATACAGTGGACACCTGGTGTGCTCAAAGGAGGAAGTCGACCAATATCTCCATAACACCTTAAGCGACCTCTCCCAATACTATGAATTAGGGCAGTGTAAAGCAATAATAAGGCCAGCAGAGCCAGTTGTGTGGTTTGATCTGAGGGAGCCGCTTCTGAAGGAAGTTCAGGAGGTGGTGTGGAAAGCTAGGTCCAGATCTGCACCAGGTCCAAGTGAGACATCCTATAAGGTGTAAAAACCGGAATGCTGTTTCTCTCCAGCACAATATAATTACTTATAACAGGAAGGAAGTTTCAGTAGTTCGTTTAAAAGATAGCTGTTACTCATCTCTCTATAGTTAGTAACACTACATGATATTTCAGCATTGCCAATGACAGACAGCTGGGCATGCTAACTAGCATTAGCAATCACATCAGCTGTAAATAATCTCACCAGCAGATATTTGTAACAAGTTTGTAGTACTAGCCAATTTAAATTAGTAATAACTACAAAATTATATTTTTCAAAATAGAAAACTGTTGGCTCTGTCTCCTCATAGATCCAAATTTGTCATGCATCATTATGACATCATGCCCAAACTTTTATTTATTTATTTGTTTGTTTCGAGCAATAGTAACATATTACAAGGCAATAAGAAGCATTCGACCGAGACACAGTATAGTCACATTACATTAACAACACAGATCAGTGAATTGCTCGAAACAGAGTGGGAAGAAGTCAAACTTAAAAAAATATATAAGGGAAACATATAAGGCAAAACCATATGACAGGAAGAGTCTACAGCTGAACTAGCAGCTCTGTTAGGCTATGCTTAGGCACAGCAGTGCTTTGAGCTAAATGCCAGTAACATTCTCACAGTAACAATGCTAACATGCGCTTATTAAACAGGTGTACTGCTTACCATTGGGTCACAATTTTAGTTTGGTGTGTTAACACTTGCCATTTAGCACTAAACACAAAGTACAACAATGACCTTTTAACAGTTCATTACAAATTCCCAAATGAACAGATTCAATTAGCATTACATTATTAGCTTTTAGTAAGAGTCACTGTGAACCCTAACTGAAATATATACAGTACATAGCTAGTTTTTCTGACAAATACTTTATACAGTTTCCATTTTTCTGTTTGGGCTTGTAAATGGCATGTCTTTGCTAAGAAGGACAAATTAAAATGTGAATTTCTGTGAGCAAACCTTCTATTAGAAACTCTATTTAAGGTGCCCTTGACCAGCCTCTGAGCTAGCCCAGTGAAGCCGCTCACTAGCCACAAGTCACAGTGCACCTAGTTAGGATGGTGCTGTGGATGGTGGCCTCAGTTGAGTGTTTTCTGGTGTGTTTTTAGTTTTTCCTAATTTTCAGAATCAGAATCTGCTTTACTGGCCAGGTGTGTTGGACACACGAGGAATTTGACTCTGGTACATTGGCTCTCAATGTGTATGTACATATCCCCATACAAGGCAAGTAAACAGTAAACCAGCATAAGGCTGTGTAATATAACAAAATAAGCAGTATTAACAAACAACAAACAGTGCAAACAACGCACAATAAGCAGTATAAACAGACAGTAAACAATGCAGACAGACAAAGGAATGCTCACTGTGATATGGGATAAGTAGGAATAAAAATAGAGTACTTAAAACTAGTGACCTGTATGGATTTGTATAATCGGTATGAGGTATATTTACAGGTATTGCACTGAGGGTTATTGTCCAGTCATACTGTTGTTGGTTAAGTGTTCATCAGAGTGACAGCCTGGGGGAAGAAACTGTACCTGTGCCTGGTTGTCTTGGTGCACAGTGACCTGTAACACCATCCAGAGGGGAGGAGTTTGAACAGATTGTGTCCGGGGTGTGAGGGGTCTGCAGTGATCCTCTCTGCCCTCCTTCTGACCCGTGAGGTGTTCTTGGTGTTATGCAACCCATCTTGGATTACATTCACCAGCTGTGTCCTCCTAAACATCAGACAGCTTACTCCGAGTACCTTTTCTCCCATTTTTACAAACACAAAAGGTTTTGTGGACATTTTGGTTGAAGGGGCAGCAGCTGTCTATTGGACCTGGAGAAGATGCCTACAGGGGAAAGCATGCGGGTGTGCTAGTTAAATGATGGCAGTGAGAGACCCACACATCACTTCCATCTATCCATCCATTGAATCTCTGTTCATTAGCCAACAAAATGGATTTTGACTAACTCTGACTTCTCATCTTCTGCTACTCTATGCTTCACAGAGACTTGGCTCAGCGAGTCCATCTCGGACAGCAAATATAGCTGCTGGGGTTCCAGATGCATAGAATGGAAAGATCAAGACTCGTTGTCTTAGGGGATTTTAACAGAGCAGACATCATCCATGAACTAGCCAAATACAGACAACACTTCAGTTGTCCCACCAGGGACAAAAACACATTGGACCACTGCTACACGGTAATAAAGGACGCCTATTGCTCTGTCCCCTGTTCAGCCCTTGAATTCTCTTTAGAATCTCTGTACCTGTGTCAAACTCCTTCTGTGTCTAATCATGTTTGGCCAATAAAGATTCTGATTCTGATACGTACAATGTATATTGCAGCTCTAATCTATTACTCTCCAGTGAGCCATTGCAGGGCTAGAAAATCATCCTTGAACACTTAAAGTTTTTTTGTTCTACTGTCTATTCCTGCGCTAACAGACTGCATGACTAAGGGAAATATTCACCTATGAATTTCTCACATGGAAGACACATATGGGAAGGATTTTTTTTGTGGAAAAGTGTTAGATGACAGGTCTGACCTTATAGCTCATGCCAGATATTGCTTAGAGAGATTTGATGCTGAGCAGTGCGCCAAGTGCTAGTAACGCTGGTGCTGCCTCATG